TTATTTCATTTCATATCCTCCACGTGTGAAATTTTAAAAGGCTTAACAACCTAAGTCAAGCAGTAACCAAGTACAAAGGTTGTAACTAGAAAAGATAATTGTTTGCTTGGCTTCTTTATTTACTGTTCTATGTTTTAAGAAAAATAGGTTAAGAACTTATTTGTAAATAGCAATAACCTATATACATATACAATGTATAATAAATTAATTATATAGATTTTGCATGTGAAATTTGAAAATTGTCTGATGCATAAAAGTATTTTTAATCTTAAAATGAAAATTACTTTACTTGATGGATAGGCAACAAAAAGGCATGAGAAACACATTGCTTTACAAACCTTAAGACTTAAAAAAACAATTATTTTGTATATCAAAGCATTGTAATGTTTACTGACAATCTGACAAATTTCATTAACAATGCCTACTAATTTAAAAGTTATAGCATGAAAACTGTAACAAGCACAAAATGGTTACGAGTCCGTGCTGAAAAAGGTAAGGAGATATAAACAAGAAGCCAAATGCACATCCTGTCTTTAAAATGATGACAATAGTTCTCTGTTGTATTATTTATAACTAGTAGAAAGATATGGTTCTACTTTACTGAATTCGTTACTGGGCTGGCTCGTTCAGCCGACAGGATATGAAATTGTTTGACATGGTGAGGGTTTGGCTTGACCAACTAATAGAAATTTGGAAACCATTTATCGCTTAACTACAAAGCCAGTTAAATTATATTAGTTTTAGAACATTGTTTCTTTATGTGTGATAATATTTTGTGTTGTAACTTTCATATTTGAAATTAAAAATGATACTTTATCATGTGTACAAAAATGAAAAAGTAGGCTTACAATGCTTTGGTCTTTCGAATAAAAAAAAACAAACAGGATTCCAGATATATTAAATTTCTTGCTTTTTTGTATATTTTGTATTTATTATTATTATAAAACTAACTAAAATGTAAGAATTAGAAATTTACAAGGTTAGATAGGAAAATTAAAGAAATGAAATAAAAATTGCTTGTGATAACATGAACACATCACTAAGTGATGTGTATGGTGTGATTTTGAATTGACCGTGACTGCTTATAGCTCAGTCCTTTGTTTACATAAGACTCTTCTGCTGTGGTAATTGGCTTTTGGCATATCCTGAGAGTTTCTAAGTGCAGCTTAAAGCAAAATTAAATTAAATGAATCCAGGTCTGAAATGTGTTAGCTTTGGCTATAAGAATAATGAGTGATTGTCTGTTACAACATGCACACATTGTAGAAATAAAAAAAAAGGGTAATATAGACTTTGTTTATATATTTTCAACTTTTCATTTTACCCTATTTTGCTGATTTCTCTACAGTTAGTGTTAGGGTAGAGAAAATAACGGACAAATTATAAAGTTTTACTGGAAATAAAATTATTGTTTTAGGAGGTTCTAATAAAATTTGAAAAAAGTAGGATGAAAAAAAAAAGTATTTTTATTCTTGTGAAAATCTTCTTGCACTCGGACAAATCTTTAGTAAAAATATTTAAAAAAAATTGATTTTTGGTGTACAAGAAACTTGTAATTTTATTAAAAGCTTTTCAAATTTCTTGAGAATATACTTAGCACAATCAGAGTTATAGTATGTATAGTTTTTCATGGATACATAGTGGTTACAAGGTCAGAAAAAATGATTGACCATAAATCTAGAGTATTAATATATGTATGGAGTTAGGACTAACCTAAATCTCCTAAGCTGGCTGAACTTCATGAGATATAATTGGGTTTATGGTTGAAAATAGCATCAACAGCAAGGGACCAAGTGGGGAAAGAAAGCATTCTAATCTTTATAAGCAAGAAAATTATATATTTAATTAGTTATACCCATTACCAGGCTGATTTGTAGTTTCACTCTAATTAAGTACTTTTCTCTGATTGGAGTTTAATATTCAGTATATACATGTTTTGGGATTTTGCATATTTCTAGTTTAAAGTTGCATATTTGAACTACAGAGTAACATATATAACTGTTCAAATTAGTGCATATAATCATGAAATCAAGTTATGGGAGGGCTTATACATGGCTGTTGTAAATACAGTGAAATTATAATGACTATATGACTGTTTTGTAATATTATGTATTACTAGTTTCTGTTTGGTTGACCTACATACTAACCAAACCTAACCTATGCTAAAGATAACCAAACCTAGCTTATCATAACCTAAGCTAACATAATGTTAACAAATTCTAAGAACTTTTAAATACTAAAAATAAATGATTTTATAATACCAAATTGTTGTTTTTCTTTAATTGGACACTTCAGCATTTTGCTTTACAGCAACTTCAGGGGCGTTCCTCTAAAACACAAAAAAAATTCACAGTAAAAAGCTTCAAATGGTTTAAATACACTATTATTTAAACCATTTGAAGATTTGTACTGTCACTTGAGTGTCCAATTAACCCTATTACGCCTCGGGTACCATTTACTGCGCATGACACAAGGTTTTGAGAGGTAAGTGAATTTGTCTACTTTTTTTCATGTTATTAGTCTATATTCTTTGGTGCATTATTTAATTAAATAAAAATTATTAAGTGCAATACCATCTATAGTATATAAAATTAGGGTTAACTCTCTTCGAAACCCGACAGCAAGAATATGAAAAACAAGAAATAAAGTACTAACCCAATCGAAAGAAGATTGGGTTAGTACTTTATTTCTTGTTTTTCATATTCTTGCTGTCGGGTTTCGAAGA